ATTGTTCTGAATAAAAAAAGACTTGACAAATGTTTGTAATCCTTACACATTAACATAGGAGGTCTTGAAAAATAATTAATATGGATATATCTTCCTGTCTATCATCTCTTATATTAGTTTATTGAATTGACAATTTTGGTACTAGTGAGCACTTAGAAGAGCATAGAATCTTAGATAAAATTTTTTCTTCTTATTTCCACATTACATTCAGTTTGAAAATCATCAAATATCAGATTATAGGCCCGTTTGAAATCATCAAGATAGTTGTTCTCTGAGCCAGTGCAGTGTAAGTCGAAATGGAAATTCTTGTCATGTAGATCGAGGGCAGTTATAAATCTTTTTTTTTTTTTGTTTTTTTACTGATTTACTAAATATTTAGTGAAGCGATAACAAAAAGAGATTAGTGATGAAGGCATGTTCTTGAACAAGTTCACGTCATTTTCAAATTCTTTTGCAAATTTGTAGGCGATATGTTCATTCTAGCGAACGGGAAAAGGCTTCCCACAGATACTATGCATTTGTGCAGACAGACAAATGGATCGACGAGCATTTTTATGGACATTCGAAATTTGAATCTAGCGAAGAGTTTGTATACTTTAGAGGGTTACAGAAGATTGTTTTTGTGCGTTCTAAAGGTATTGGAAAAACAATAAAATTTTGATGCACTATATTATTGGGTAGACATGGTCAATTTTTTCGTTTTTATAGAGAAACTCAAGCGTTGCCCATAGAATATATGGTCAAATTTTTGTAGATTTACCTGCTTTAGTATATGAGTAATAAGCAAAAAATAGTATTTGATTCGTTTTGAAGAACAGATATCTTCTCAGTTTACATGATGCTGTAAGCGGGTCGTTCGAAAAATTTGACTTATGTTCCGCACCAACTTGCAATGTTTCTGTAAAATTTGACGTCGATAGCTTCATTTTAGCGGCCAGGAGAATCTGCCCAACAGACATTACACAGTCGGTCGGACGGCAATACTTAAATCGATTTAAGGATTGATGCTATATATACCTTGTGGGATCTCTGATGTTTCCTTTAAATGTTTTGGTAAAACGAATATACCCCTTATCCTTCGGTGATGGGTATAAAATGGAAAGTGACAAACCAACAAACCCGTATCAAAGCCAAATATTTCGGTATTGAACTCGTCGTTTTTTTTCTGCTATCAATTTTTTTGGATTTTGATTTTAAAAACCATATAAGATCGAAAGTGTGCCGAAGACAAATGAATGAGAGTGCTCGCTCGAAAAGATTTGATCGAAATCGTTTACAACTTTTTACTTCGTTTTCGTTAATTTGTTTGCTTTCTGAAAATATTTTCAAGAGTAAAAGACAAAATACAAAGAAAAGGATAATAATAATAAATCGAATAAGCAGCTTAAAGGTTAACAAAGGATAGAATGTGGCTTCGGTTTTGCAGTATTGTGTTTATCTTTGATCCATATTTAGTTTACAAGAAATGAACCATAAATTTTTTAAAAACTTTTACATACATATACATACATATAAAATTCAATCGCAATAAACACCGTATATATATATATATTTTGGACGCGATTTCCTCCTCTTCTCTTGTTTGCTTTATATTTCCTAAATATCTTTAAATACTTACACATATGAATACATGCATATATATATTTATATATTATATATATATATATATATATATATATATATAACGTGACGTGTACATATACGTGACGTGTAAATGATTTTCAATTTCGTTACGAAAACAAATGAATGAAAAACGAACAACACTTTTATTGTTGTTATATATTTCGGAATTAGAACAAGCGCTTCAAGCCCAATTGCCGTGTTAATGGGTTTGTTGCCCAGGTAAAATTTTCTTAAACTTATAAACTAACAATCAATCATGTTTATTATAATAAATCATCAGCAAAAAATTTCTATTCTTTTTATAAATATAATTAATATATCAAAATTTTCCAACATAGAAATGAATTTAAGCAACGTTTCGGCATAACAGTGGCTTTTCTCGCCACTCATAGCGGTCTTACGAGATGGCAAGAATTTCATTCCAATATGGCTGAGGAACTTGGAGCGGGGTATTATAGATAGAATATTTGATCATTATATGAAAGTAAGAAAAAAAAAAAACTTAACATTTATTCAATTCTTTTATTCTATTAGGGAAACATTTAGCGAACACAATAATAAAGCCGTCGATGAGGTGTGGTATAAACGGGCAGTAGACCAACATTTTATACGTGAAGAAAGCTTCGTTTATTCGATTCCATTTGATGCTGGCGAAACAGGGGCTCAGACAATGGTTACAGCTAGCCATGCAATTTTCCATACTGAAGGTGGAAAATCCGCACCGGCCGCAGTAGTTGGTTTCCAATTTCAGCATACCGCTTTACTGAAACTCTTTCGCAATATTACAGGAAATGTGAGTCCGACAAATTAAACCCACACATACACACACACACACATATATATATATATATATATATATATATATTGATTTATTAAACATTTTAAACAGGGATGTTTAATGGACGACAAGGACTGTTACGTTTTGGACAACAACGGTTTCATAATCATTTCACCAAGTCGCCACGAGACTGGCATGTTTTTTGGTGAAGTTAATGGTGCTATCATGCATCGTTTGGTTGAAGAAAATGTTTTTAAAAAAGTTACAGTATACGACTATCAAGCTGTTTGCTTTGTGCCAGACGGTGAAAACAATTGTTCATCAAAATTTTTCTCTGTAAGTGTAAAGTGTATTTAATACTGTTTATGAACTCGCTTATTACTCCCGACTTTATTGTTCGGGATCGTATTTATATCGTTCAATGTATGAATGGAGCCTTAACACACACAATCCAGATAAAATTTAATTTGGTTCTTGGATAAATCTATCTGGGAAAGAAACAATGAATGGCGCAATCCCATTATCCCTTTACCTTATGTTACGTAGCATCTGTGCCGGGTTTTCATTCTTATATCTTGTGCATTTTAAGGGTGGATCTGCTCATAGATGCGATCGATACTTGCTCCAAATTTGTTTAGATCAGCATCTGTTTTGAATTTTAGGATATAAATTTTTATTTTTTTTTTTTTTTTTTTTTTTGATTGTACAGAACATATCTGAACCGACTTGCGAAACTACATATACTTTAACTTTGATGGCTAATTCAGTTTAAATATGACATCGACAGATTAGCATTATATTCTGTCCGTCTGTGTAATAACTGTTGTAAACATTCTGCTGGCCACAAAAGTGAGTCTGTCGACTTCAAATTTGACAGAAATTTTAAAACTTTTTGTACGCAGACTCGGATTGAAAATGGACAAAATCGGTAGAAAGGACACGCTCACAGGCTCTATGCCACAAAAACTGAGCACCTTTGCCTTCCGCATTTTGTACTCATTGCTCATAAATTGCAACAGATACACGGTATAAATTTCAACTTTTATTCAAAAAAATCCATAAAAAAATCCTCATTAACACACCCTACCGCCAATATCATAAATATTTAATTCTTTTTAGGTTAAAAATGATAGGCATAGAAGACCGCTTATATTGGGCTGAAACAAAATAAGCCTCGTAGGTCTTTATCATAAATCCTTATACGAATACAGGCACAAAGCTGACGTTAAAATTTTATAAGCAAGAAGAATATTCGAAAGCGAACTGAAAGCTTGTATTGCATTCGGTATTTTTTAAGTTTAAAAAAAAAAAAAAAAAAAAAAAAAAAAACAACAACAACTCTTTTGACTCTTAAAAAAAGTATTTCATTCATTTTCTATACACAACGAGAAAACTTGTTGTAAGGTTTCTCTGTTATAGAAGACTTTATTTAATATCAGGCCGTTAGAGTAGCATTCTAGTAACAGTTTTATATTTATATATGTGTATTTAGTCACTTAATATAATTTGTTGTTTCTATTTGGCAGCCAATAATTCATGTACTACGACTATTTAAATGGCTACTCACTACTGTTCTGTGGTATATTGTGCAATACACTTACGTGGCAGCTGAATTCTTTGAACCTCTTATTGATGAAAATATGACCGATTATTTTATAAATCTAAATAAGAATAATGAATGGGTAAAGTATGTGACGTTGCAACGCACCAAACTGAAGTCATGTGATATGCAACGTGACTTGTACACACTGTACAATGAGAAAGATAATGTTGTTTACAATATGACAGCACATGGTTGTGAGCGGCCATTTGTAGTATTGCCGATACCGGCTAGCAATCTAATATTGCTGGTTATCGATCAAATATGTCCGCGCGATGCTACACATATACTGACAGTAAATCCGATCGATATTAATTACCAATTGGATGCAAATCAAACGTTACAATGCTATAAAAGAGATCATGAATTTACACGAATACGTCCAACTAGTTGCATAAGTAAACATGTAAATGTAAGTTTCATTCTTATTTCGTTTTTTTTCCATTTAATTTTTTTTTTTTTTTTTTTTTGCTTGCTGGAATATTTAATAATGAGATAATTGAAATAATTTTGCTATTCTCTCCGTTTTTTTTTTTTTATTTTGATATAGGAAAGCTTTATAGAGTTATGTGGCAGTGCTTCCTCAATTCTTGTCAACATATTTGTAATAATTTTAAATTTATTATTGTATGCGTTCCTCTAACACGTTATTATTATTATTATTATTTCATTTATTTAATTATATTCATTTACTTTATTGTTAAAGTGATAAGTGATAAATTTTATACCCATCACTTGAGATATATAAAACGAACGTGTTTTATTATTGTCATTCCCAATTGCATAGACTAATTTAGCAAGTGTCCGTCCATCGATCGATTGAATATAGTAGATTAAGAGAAACTTACCATATATGGAGTATGGTAAGTTAAGATGTATGTATTAAAATTAAAATCGATCGCAATTATCACAATGATCGATTTAAAAATGCTTGCATTTAATCAACTGTTACGTTCAGATGTGATCGCTAAAGCTGATGGGTATATTATCAAGATTCGCCCGAAGGCGAATATAGCTTTCTTACTTGTTATAATAACGATTACCATACTTTATATTAATTAAATTAATTTTAATTTGAAAACAAATTGTATTAAGAATCTTAATACAAACTTAATACTAAATAATATATATATATATATATATATATATATTAATGTATATACATTATTGAATTTGAATATATAAAAAAATGTTTTAGTAACAGCTTTTGAGACTATTAATAAGAATTATTATAAAAATTTTTACTACATCGTGTACCTTAATTATAATTACTCTATACATTTAGTTAAATGAGTTACTTTTTTAAAAACGTCTGTTAAAGTATCTTTTTCAAATATCTCATATTTAAAGATTTTCTTCATTTCACTTCTTCTTCTTCTTCTTATGCTTGTAACGGTTCACTTTATAACATTTTATTCGCATTCGCTTACATTATTATATGCGCATTGATAGAAGCAAGACCAATAAAATCATCGAATACTGACCGAGCTGTCAAAGACAAAACTCATTAGCACTATTATTATAGACAAATTTACAAATAGCTTTTGAAATCTTCTGCAGAGAGAAACAACTCAACTCAACTGAACGCAACTCAACGCAACTCAAACTTTCAGATCTTTTACTCCCAAAATGCCTTAAATTCCTAGAAATGCATTTTTTTTTTTTTTTTTTTTTTTTTTTTTTTCCACTGCCACCTGCTTGTGTGGTTTTCCGATTTTTATAAAACTTTGAATGATTTTTGAGTCGACTATGTGCCATGTGTATACAGTTTTCTTTAAAATTATATATCTTGAGCTTATTTTTAAAAACTCTACACCTTAACTAAATCAATTCTTACTTCCTTTTAATTGAAACTCGAACTGCCAAATGTTACATCAATAGCGTAGATACGAATGTTTCTGTTGTCTTAAAAATCAAAATATATATCAAATAGAATATGGGATTCTTTCTAATGCTTAGTAAAGTCAAATCGAAATTCATGTTGCAAAGGCCAATAAACCTTACAATATTCGTATCTGAAAAATGAATTATTTTACGCTGAGACGTTGAAGAAATATTGGCGCCATAATTTCTTGAGCCATTACAGCAAACCATCCTTGGCAGATGTTTGAAGCGCATAGAAAGCGCAGATCGGAAAGCAAGAGTATACTAAACGAAATAACGGAATCGGTGGCATCTTTGTAATCAAGTTCCAAATCAATATCTCTGATAGATTATATATGCTAACAGGCGGAAGAGGGCATAGGGGATACAGAAATTGATACAGTGTCTTATACGTTAATAGGTGAATGCCACTTTCTTTTTTTTGTATAATTCATTCATTCATTCATTCAATACTTTCTCGAGAGATGCACTTGTCTAAAAAAAATGCTGACAATAGTATATAAGTTGGAGATGATTTTTTTTTTTTTTACTTTTAAAGCGACCGTGAATAGGCCGTGAAAGGCTTTTCTGCTTTATTTTCAGCAATTATAACATTTTTATGTGCATTCGATACGAAAAATTTCCCGTTCGCATAGAAAGCGCATAGAAAGCGCAGATCGGAAAGCAAGAGTATACTAAACGAAATAACGGAATCGGTGGCATCTTTGTAATCAAGTTCCAAATCAATATCTCTGATAGATTATATATGCTAACAGGCGGAAGAGGGCATAGGGGATACAGAAATTGATACAGTGTCTTATACGTTAATAGGTGAATGCCACTTTCTCTTTTTTGTATAATTCATTCATTCATTCATTCAATACTTTCTGGAGAGATGCAATTTATATGTAGAGATAAAGATGTCTTTGCACTTGTCTAAAAAAAATGCTGACAATAGAATATAAGTTGGAGATGATTTTTTTTTTTTTTTACTTTTAAAGCGACCGTGAATAGGCCGTCAAAGGCTTTTCTGCTTTATTTTCAGCAATTATAACATTTTTATGTGCATTCGATACGAAAAAATTTCCCGTTCCGACTCACGTGACTTGCTTAACTAGAATACTTTCCCGGCGTTAATCAATATCACTCGATCTTTAATAGAACTGCGTGAGTTAACTTACGGAGAGTAGAATATATATATAATAACCGGACGAATATGGCTAAACCAACCAACCAACCGAGTCTCATGCAGATATGAATATATTTTATATATACTTGAATATGTTACATGCATATATGAATATATTCGAATTATATTTCCGAGTTTTATCAAAGAATCGAGCGAAAAGAAGAAGATTAAATTACTAATAAAGAAAAACTGCAATAAGATAAATAGATAAATATATATAGACAAGATTGACTTCTTTTGTAATTTTCGATTATATATCGCATAATTGCTCCTCCTGCTCTACCCTTTTGTTACATATGGATATATATACATATATATATATATATATACATACATGTTTCAAATTAATTTATAATATAGTTCAATACGATTCACTGTAAATAAAAAATAAAATATATTGAATTTATTTAGATTTTGATTCGCTTCGTCTGCGACACTCTTAGCTAAAATGTATCCTCATGTACAATACTTACACAATAAACAGCTCACCTTTCTTATAAAATTGAAATCATTATTTTATAAAAGTCTGCTATGAACTGATTGTTAATTTACAAGTACATATGTATAATAATGAAATAAGAATAACATTTAAACAAAAAAGTACCAAAAATGTATTTATTTAAAATTTTTATTTAAATAAATTGTTTTTCTTACTAAATTATAAGATTTATTATATATTAATAAATACAATAAAAAAAAAAAAACCAATATTTTAGTAGTTTTTTATTTTTATTTATTTATTTATTTATTTTTATTTTTTTTATTTTATTTTTATTTTTTTTTTGCAATTAAACTTAAGGATAAACATGTGTCCTAGCTTAGCAAAGAAGAACAAAATAAAACTTAATAATAACTATATGGAGGTGTTATTAAGTAATGCAGATAAAATTAATTTTAGGAATTGTTTTCTTTTCCCTTTTCGTTCACTTGAGAAAGGGAAATACAACTTTGATAGTAAAATATTAATTAATCAAATTGCTCGCTTGTTTATCCTCCAACGAAGTTATATTAAATGCATAAAGTTTTCTTACCAAAAAATTTTATTTAAATTCATATCAATAAAAAGAAGCTGGAAAATTATATTACGCTTTAGCTGAATATTTTAATAAAAAATTTTTAATAGTTAACGTAACTCTAGATGGTATGCAATGTTTTTTTTTGCTATTTAGTAATATTTTTGTTTAGGGTGAATAGTAGATCGCCATTTCGATACATATATATTGTGCATATATCAAATTTTTGCTCTTTTATACGATTTGGAAGCAGGTTTTTTTCATATCCTACTTCACTTATACCCGAAGGGTATATTAAATTTGTTCATGGATATATACAATGGCCAGAAGGACTTGCGATAAATAAATACACTTTCCAAATCTATCTAAGTTTGCCTGTCCGTCTGTCCGCTTTGTATTGTTATGTTCAATATACCGATCGCAAAGTTTGAGATATTTATTACACCAACATATTTTTGACCATAAAACTACCCTAGTAGAAATGGAATAGGATCGAACTACCTTTTCGATCACTGAGTAAGAGGATTTAAGTCAAGTGATGTAGAGCCATTGCCCACCATTACCTAGTGTTTCAATTTCTTTTTAAATGGCAAACTTTTTTTTTCTCTTTTTAATTTAAGTGATTTTTGAATCTGACACGGATATATAATGAAAGTAATTTTAAAAATAAATCGTCAATTTAAGATGCTAAACTTATAATTCCAAAATTTCGATAATGTAAATTACGAAAAAGGGAAAATGTTATTTGTCTTTGAAAATCGTAGGCGGAATCTTGAATCAACTTTATTACTTTTCGAACTTAACTCGAGAATATTTATAAAAACTTTATTTCAAGTCCTTTCTTCTAAGCATAGCATTGAAAATCTAATCGTAATTTTGACAACATGAAAGCGATTTAAGCTGATAAGGACTTTGACAAAGTCTCTAGGGAATATTTCTGCGCGCTACGAACAAGCAATTCTTATATTATCCCTATAATGGGTAGAATAAGATTTGCCTTTGCTTGACCGAACGAATTTTGAATTTTGTGAAAATATAAGCCTTTCTATTTAGTTGCCTGCCAGGCGGTAATACTTTTCGACTAAGAAATTTGTAGAAAAAGCTGCGACTCCACACGAAAGCAACCGCTTGCCAATTGCGGATATTGCCCGAGGACATGGGATGCGAAAGTTTTACAGGATATGCATACATTGTAGCTTTATGTATAATTAACATTTTTATATAAAAAGGATGTATTATTTTTTGTTTTTGAAAATACTTAAAAACATTTATTTTAAATGATGAAAAATACATGTAACTACGTATATTTATTTATTCATTTTTTTCTTTTTTAAATAGAAAATAAATTGTATTTAATTCTTTAATAAGCTTCGCACCACTACTGTAGACGTATATTTTAACATATATGATTATATATATATTATGTTGACAAATATCTGAATATATATATATATAAATGATTACTTAATCTAAAACTAAAAAAAAAAAAAAAAAAAAAAAAAA